TCACCCAGGGGGGAGTGTCAGGAAGGCTATGCCCAGCTACAAGGTTATGTCTCTTCTGTCTGGGGGACAAGCTAGCACTGCTGAGCCATCTCATTTTTCAAATATTTGATTACTTGTCACTTAGCCATCTGATGGGTTTTATGACACTTTATGACTATGGTTTGCAAAGAGGATAATAAACTGGCCCTCTGCCTCCTCATATTGTCCTTTCTCCCCTCAGGCTGGGTCTCTCCAATCTTACACTATCTCACCTCAGTCAGAAAGAAAAGAGCAGAAAACTCAGTCCAGAAAAGATTCTGAAACAAACAGGGAGAACGCAACATTCTAAACTGTGAAAGACATTGTAGGAAGCAAAATGAATTTTCATTAAATATCTGTTTGTATGCCAGAAAACTTTGAACATATATGTTCTACGATGAACACAACAGCAAAATAATGAAGAGAAAAGGCACCTAGCCAAGAAAAGGTATTTCTTTTCTTGAGAAGAAAAATGGGGCTAGATGAGGTAAAGAAAAATAATAAACATAAAAATACAAAACAAAATTAGTACTAATACTAAAAACTACATTGGTTCTACATAATGATGACAAGTTTTCCCAGAAAGTAGAAGAAAACAAGATTGAAAGAATGGTGACCAAGACAGAGGGATGAGTGTGCACTGAGCCTGTAGAAAGTCAGTGGTCTTGAGAAAGATCCTGGGCAAAGGCCACAGTGAGAAGCCCCCACAAAGCAAGAGGATTCATATCCTAAACAGCAGGCAGAACTAAAATCAAAGAATCCACAGTGACTAGATGCTGGTGACAGTGTCAAGTTGCCAGGGAGAGAAAGAGACTCTGATGGGGGCGTTCTTCTGTATGTTTCTCTTATTGGGTGATGAATAAAACACTGATTGGCTGGAAGCCAATCAGGAAGATAGGTGGGGCTAGGAGATGAGGAGAATTCTGGGAAAGATAGGCAGAGGGAGTTGTCACATAGCCACTGGGAGGATAGGATGCGCCAGGCATTCTCAGGTAAGCCAAGACCACGTGGAAATATACAGATTAATAGAAATGGCTTAATAATTAAGACAGAGCTAGCCAATAAGAAGCCCTATCCATCGGCCAACAGTTTATAATTAATATAAGTCTTTGTGTGCTAACTTAGGACTGAGAAGGATGGCGGGACAAGAAAATCCAGCAACAAGACTCCAAGAAAACTGTCTCAGCTTCCTGTCTGCCATGAGGGAATAGCTCTGCTTCAGCGTGATGTTCTACCTCCCCATGGCCCAGAAACTCGAAACCATCCTACCAAAATGAAACTTCTAGAACAGAGAGCCAGGATACCTCACTGCTGCCACCACCCCTACAATTCCAGTAAGCATCAAATGGGCCTGTAAAGAGCACATGCAGAGGTGTAGAGAAGGCTCTGGTTGGCTTTGGGCTTTCCCATCAAACAGACGATGGAGCAGCTGGTGGTTACACACATCTGCAAGTGACTACACGGCACAACACAGCAGATGTGGGAAGGGCTAACAGTGTCATGCTGGTATCAATTTCCAGATTGTGATTTTATATTATTTAAAACCTCTGTACTGTCCTGACAACTTCCTAGGGGTGTCCTAAAAGTTGGTACTTTTGCTGTTGATGATGGATGCTGTGCTAGTTTGTGTAAGAATGACCCCTATGGGCTCAGATATTTGAATGCTTAGAGAGTGGCATTAAGAAGTGTGGATTTATTGGAGTAGGTGTGGCCTTGGAGAAAGTGTGCACTGGCTGCATGTCTCTCTCTTCCTGCTGCCTGCAGATCCGAATGTAGAACTCTCAAGCTCCTTCTCCAGCACTATGTTTGCCTACATGCTGCCATGATTCCCGTCATGATGACAATGGACTAAACATCTGATACTGTAAGCCAGCCCCAATTAAATGTATTCCTTTGTAAGAGTTGCTGTGGTCATGGTGTTTCTTCACAGCAATAGAACACTAAGACAGATAAGTAAAGGAATACCAGAGTTTATAGGTAAATTCATACATGAATGTATTGGAATCATGTTTGTTTGTGAAAACAGTATGTGATGTCACGGGAGTCCTAAAACAACAACAACAAAAAAAAAACCAATTTTTTAAAAACAAATTTAAATGGACAGTTGTACTCTAAAAGATCTACTGACTATTTTAGTGTCTTGGTTGTAAAACAGGATTCCTACAAGATTCCAGATGACCATGTTCAGCCTTTATTGGTCAACCCAGAAACGATAGTCTGTTCCACCTTGGGCATACAATTTCAGACAGGAGAGACATGTAGCCCCCTACTGCTGCAACAATATCCTCATTTTCAAGTCACTCACCCCACCCCTATAAAGGGTCACAGCCAGATTTTCCCTTGGCAGACCCCTCAATTTCCCATGGGAGAGAGGCTCTCTTGCTGTCAGTCTGTCTGCTAAGGTCAAAGTCTGGTCTCTTTATGCTGCCTCAGAAAACTAACACTGATGATATTCAAAATCATCAAATTTAAATAACTGTCATAAATGTGATTGTGAAACTGAAAGCAAATATCCCAAGATATAAAACAGACAACAACAACAAAACTATTAGGTCCAAAGTAGCCTCAAAATGGCAGTGCTGATGACAAGATGCTAAACAAGGGCTCTTGGGTAGACAGAGGCCTAAAGGCTGCTTCCCCTCTAACCCCAGGAGCCTCCTTGAAACCACAGTAACCTCCCTTAATCTGCCCCAAAGTTCAACATGGGCAAGGGCAATCCTAACAGCCGGTATTCACTCAAAGACCTCACCTTGCAAACGGCCATTTAAATCCAATTGCTTTTTCTGCCATTTTTCAACTCTCTCTGTCCCCCACCCACCACACCACACACACACACACACACACACACACACACACACACACACACACACACACACACACAAGAGCCTTGGTAGTTTTGAGGCCCAATAGGCCTTTCTTTCTACCCACAGAACAGTCTAGGTCAGTGGTTTCACTGTGCCCTCACTTAGAAAAACTAAAATCCCTGAAAACAGGATTATAATAAAAGTAAAAAATGTAACCAGGCTGTTTTATATTTTTAATGTTGACACCTAGCATGTGTTGCTAAATACAAGCAAACAAAAAACTTTACAGTTATGTTTTCAAAGAATATAATCTAGAATTGATATAGTTAAATCCAGAGAGAAAAAAAGAAAACAAAATGCCAAATGTTAAAAAAAAAAAAGGAAAAAAGAAAAAAAACTCATGAAAAAAGATACTTAAAACTATGGTTTTTAAAAAAATATATTGTTTCTATCTTATGAGTATGAAGTGCTTTGCATGCATGTATGTAAGCACACCACATAAATGGAGTGCCCTCAGAGAGGATCAGGTCCCCTAGTTGTAAGGGGTCAGGTAGATGCTAGAAACACACCCTGATTCTTTGCAAGAGCCTTCCACAACTGTTTTAAAAAGTTGAATTTGAAGAGCTGGAGAGATGATTTAGCAGTCAAGAGCATTTTCTGCTCTTCCAGAGGACCTGGGTTTGACTTCCTGCACCCACACAGCAGCCCACAACCATTTGTAACTCCAATTTCATGGAATCTAACACCCTCTTCTGGCCTCCTAGACAATAGGCAAGTACATGGTGCACAGACATACATACAGGCAAAACACTCATACACATTTTTTTAAAAAAATTCTAATTAGAAAATATGTATGGGTAGGAATTGTAACTCAGTGAACTCAGTGGTAGAATGCTTGCCTAGCATCACAAAGTTCTGGGTTACGCACACACACAGGCGCGCACAGACACAGACACAGACACAGACACACACACACACACACACACACACACACACACACGAGGGGGACTGAGGGGGGAGAGGAAGGGGAGGTAATGAGAGAGAGAGAGAGAGAGAGAGAGAGAGAGAGAGAGAGAGAGAGAGAGAGAGAGAGAGAGAGAGAGAGAGAGAGAGAGACAGACAGACAGACAGACAGACAGAGACAGATACAGATAATAAGTTATGAAAATCAATACTAATAACCTTTCACTTCCCTGGGGCTAAAAGTTTACCACCATACCCAGCAACCCTACAACTTTCCAGTCATTGCAGTGGGTGTTATTACCATGATGAAAGGCCAACAGTCTATCTTTGCTCTCAAGGAAACCATAAAGGCCACCCCTGAGGGCTCTCTGTGATGGCCTGCATTTCACTTTCTACCAACAAATTCCTGCTTGGTTCTCAAGGCAATGTAATCAGGAACAGGAAAGGAAAACCAAAACCAAAAAAGCTGAGGCCTCCTTAACCAGAGCCTTAGTCTTTTCCCAGGGCACCCACTTCGTGGCAATCATTCAAGGCGTTGCCAGGGAGTGAGGGGACTGAATTTGCATTTATCCCAAAGCTTCAGTGAAACCCCACTCCTCTGCAGAGTGCAAAAAGGGATCACAGCACGGATGGAGCTTTTCACTGCAGGACAAACAGCAGCTTTTACCCAGTGGTTTCTCCTCCCATGCCTGGGCCTCTAAAGGTCTTTTTCACAGCTGGCATGACCCCTAGGTGTCCTCTGTGAACCCTCCTAAGTCTGGGACTTCCCACTGGCTTTGGTGTATAACTTTTTGATAGAGCAGAAGCACTCGAGGGTTGTGTGTGTACCAATTCTGAACACAGAACAAAATATAACTAATGGCCAGCTAATCACCCAGAGGACCAGCAGGCTAATATTCAATCACTTTTATGTGGATTCCAATCATCCTTTTAAACCGTTTCTATGAGCCAGAATCCCTTGTGCAAAGCCTTTGCCACACACTCAGCACAGCCCATTGTGAAGTCAAATAAGTTAACTCTCTTAGCTTAATCCCACAGACAATTACTTGTTCACTAGCAAAATATCCACTCAGGTTCTGTTATGTCTATGGAGTGCTAAGCCTTCCCTCCTGTGGCCTGTCAGCTCCCCTCCTTCTCCCAACACAAATGGGACGGCCAGCCCCATCAATCAGGCCTTTCCCTGAGCAGAGCTCCCAAGAAGAAAGGCTGACTCACCCTGTCCCAGCTGAAGCACAGGCCGAGGCGGTCAAGCTGTTTCCTCATATATTTAATATTGCTGTGAAACAAAGAGAAACAAGTTTGACATTGAGAAGGGGTCAGGGCCAGAGTGGAACTACATTTTAAGGATGTTTTAGAAAACTTAAAAAAGTCTAGCTCAGTCAGGGAAGCCTTACCTGTTGCTTTGTCCTGGCAGAAAAACCATAAAGACAATCCCCAAGAATCAGTAAAATATCAATATGCAAGCAGACACCCATGATCTGGACACGCTCATCACTAGATGTCACTTTGGTCTTGGCCCTGGATGGAAGCTCCGTCCCCTGGCCACTCTGACAAGCAATCTCTTGAATGTGTGATCCTGGCCTCTCCTTATGTCTATGTTACACACAGAGTTAAGTCAAGCAAGCAAGTTTTAAAGAGATCAAACAAATAAAAATCTTTATGTCCAAACCTTTGGCACTCAGTGGAAGCAGCTCTTGCCTGGCATGTGTAAGGACTGGATTCAATCCCCAGAACTGTGTGTGTGAATGCTTGAATACACACACACACACACACACACACACACACACACACACACACACAGACAGCACACAGGCATGCACACACTAGAGCACACACCTACCTCTTAATGTACAAATTCAAAAGAAACCACACAGTGTTCTATCAGTCAGAACCTAAAACTGCCTCAAAATTGGATAACAGAGCAGTGCACTAATCAATTTAGTTCTTGTTGCTGGGAATCAGCTTATGCCACATTTGATCTACTTTATTAGAGTTGTCATTTTGTTCTTTTCTTTTTTTTTTAAATCACTTCCATTAATCTAGAATTAATTGTATGATGGAGAGAACACAGTGATTTTCCTTCTGTGCAGCCTTGGGTAGAAAAAGAAAAGGTGGCGAAGGGGCGGGAGTATAGTGTGGGTGGGGGGTGGGGCGGATAGCATGTGTATGGAGGACAGTGGGTGGGTGTGGGTCTGGGTGTGGGGGGGGGTGTCGGGGTGTGTT